TACAGGATGAACTGTTACTCCCTCTTCAAATCAATTATTTTTTAAGGGAGATAGATAGATTTTTGGTAGAATGACAGATTCAGCATGCAGATGAGCTAAGTAATATGTTATACACTTCACTATATGCAACATGTACAGGAATGCTGTAATAACTCAGTAATTGGAGCACAATGCTCTTTGAACTGGCCGTGAAATGAGTTAAAAGTGCAGGGAAAAAATATAGAGATACTCAACAAAAAACGAGCTCTCAGTTTGAAATCACTATTAGTTTTCTTTGTTGTCCTTGTACTTGTCCATGAATTCCTTGTGAAACTTGCTCAGCCTTTCGTACATAGGAGCAATTTTTTCTTCAGAGGGTAGAATTGTCAATCTGTAGTAGAAGAAAATAGGAACAAAACAAGTGGAAAGGAGACAAGCGTATGATTGCAAATTGTGGAATACCCATTAAAAGATATAAACTCTGTATTTGTATTTGGGCTGCTCATCTCATGGACAACACAGAAAAATGAAACTGACCTAAAATGGTATGTTCCTTCCTTTTGTCCATAATTTTCTCCGGGAGTGGGGACTATTCCGGTTGTTTCCATCAACTGCCAGCAATAGAAGCCGTCTGGGTTAAGGTTATTACGCTAAAGAGAAACGGAAATGATTTAAAGAAATAGAAATGATCTTCTCGTAACGCAACCCTTTCACCACTGATGGACGCCAAGTTGGCAAATGACAAAGTAGTGTCCACAAATAGATGAGGTGCCTAACACTGACTGTCAGCCTTACTTACGACGATTTTTTCTTCAAAACCGCTCAGAGATCTTACAGAAAGTATTATTCATTTAAAACGAGGATTAATCTTCGAAGATTTACCTCTTATCTTCTAGCCTTTTTCGAAGATTTACCTAAAACGTTAACTTAAGTCAAATGAGACACTTTTTCCAGCTAGACACGAGGGGATTTAATGCGAATTTTACTTATCGAATTGCTTCGGTTTCTCAGTTCAATTATGGAAATGTCAAAATTCAAGGGACTTGCTTAGAATTAGCGTAAGTAAATTTGAAGGTGACT